TTTTTTTTTTTTTTTTTTGCAATATCTAATTTTTCGAGCAGTTATCATTGAATATTGGATACAAAGAAATTATTTATGTTCAGCTAACTGTAAAAATCGAAAAATGCACAGTCGTAATTATAACAAAAATAATTTCTAAATAATTTATGTAGATAAGAGTATCGAATCTCTTTCCATTACCATAAATGCCAATGTTCACAAAATATCGAAATATTCAAATTTCAAAAACTTTGAAAACTTTTTTAAAAACTCATCTTATTTTTCCATTATTCGTCACAAAACCCCTTTAAATTCTCATCCACCGTTAGCCAGGTAAAAAAGGTATCGAATCTCTGTTCATTCTCGTCCAACACGCGTGCCCTTCTTCGTCACCACGTTACTTGTTGCCGCGAATAAGGGAAGGAAGGGTGCCTAAAATAACTAACCCGGCAGCATTCCTGGATGCGAAGGAGGGCGAGGGCACGCCTTGGGGCGCATCGTTCACCTTGAATCGTCTCTCGCTCCCTTTCTTTTCGAATCCGTTCGCGCACCCTCTTCTCACCTTCATCCACCCCCCCTGCGGAGTAAATGCCTCTAAAATATGCACCCGGCCAACGTAAAATACGATATTCGAGGGGCGGATTCTTGATCCAAGAACCGTGGAAATTCTGTTCAGGAATTCACTTGTTCGCGGATGAAGGATTCGCGCGACGAAATTAAATCGTTCCATTGTATTTTTCGCTCGAGTTTCGAAGATTTCTGTGATTCTTTTTTTTTCTTTTTTTCTCGCTTTTAATCTCTAGAAAATTGTCCAATCGACAATTTATTGCTATTATTAGATCGAAAAATATAAATTTTAATTTTACATTTATTTAACGATCGAAATTATATATTTTCTTGGATGAATGAAAATCAAAGTCTCGACTTTGATCCAGATCTAGGTTTTCGAAATTTCTATCGCCAAGAATGGTTAATCGGCGAGTAAAATAACAAGCAAATATGCGAAAGAATTTTTTGAAGAGCAGTGACAGTTAATAATTAACATCACGTTCGAATTTCGAGCGTATCGTAATTCTTCAAAGTTTTTACACCGGGCAAACAAACGTGAAAAATAAAATGGGGGGAAAAACACACATACGTTTTCATTCATTCGTAGAGATAAAAGCTGAAATACGAACAGTCGAGTTTCAAAACGTATCAAAGGGGAAAAGAGAACACCCTCCCTCCCAAAAAAAATATTAATTTCAAAACATTTCATCGATAATTTATTATCCCCTATGGTATCCACTGACGAGCATTGATTTACAAGCTTTTTTTCGCCAAACAATCGGAAGCGAAGCCTCGACAAAAATCGCAGCGACCACTGCGATGAATACCAATCCTCCCCCAAAAACCTATCCGCCGATAAATCTCCCTCCCTCTAAACGAATGCGATATTTTTTTCGTTCCCTGGCATAATAATTAACTTGTGTGGGCTCTCATAATTTCACTCGTCACAAGTTCCCCCAATCGTGCTGTTATTCGCCATTTTCGAAGATAAGAAAGAAATTTTCTTCGTTCAATTTTATTTGGAAGAAATTTTACAAATCATTTTTCTATGCAATAACAATTTTCCTCGTATTCTCATAATTTCGTAATCTTGAATGTTAATAAGAATCCATGAGAATTAACAGCGGTCGTTTTCGAAGATAAGAAAAAATTTTTCTTTTGGAAGAAATTTTACGAGTCCTTCCTGAAAAATTTTTGTATACAATAATTTTCCTCGCATTCTTATAATTTTATAAACTCGAGTGTTAACAAAAATCCATAAGAACAGCAGTCATTTTTGAAGATAAGAAAGAAATTTTCTTCGTCCAATTTTATTCCTTTTTTTGGAGAAATTTTGTTACGAATCATTTTTCTATACAATAACAATTTTCTTCTCATAATTTCGTAGTTTTGATTGTTAATAAAAATTCATAAAAATTAGAAAGCATTTTCGAAGATAAGAAAAAATTTTTCTTTATTCAATTTTATTTCTTTTGGAAGAAATTTTACGAGTCCTTCCTGAAAAATTTTTCTATACAATTTTCCTCGCATTCTCATAATCTCGTAAACTCGAGTGTTAACAAAAATCCATAAGAATTAACAGTAGATATTTTCTTCGTCCAATTTTATTTCTTTTCTTGGAAGAAATTTTGTTACGAGTCCTTTTTGAAAAATTTTTCTATACAATAACAATTTTTCTCTCGTTCTCATAATTTCGTACTCAAATGTTAATAAAAATCCATAAGAATTAATAACAGCCATTTTCGAACTAAGATAAGAAAGAAATTTTCTCCGTCCAATTTTATTTCTCTTCCTGGAAGAAATTTTCTTACGAACCATAATTCCTCATAATTTTATATAAACTAAATAATAAAAACCATACATAAGACACGATAGAATTACCAACAAAAGAACACTCCTCGTTCAAAAAAATTCCACAAAATCACAATATTTTCTCCAATATACGCAACATTCAACAAATTTTTCCCAAACACCCCGATAACACCCTACCTCTCCTTTCAAAACTTCAACCCCTTCGAACCTCGACACGAATCAATCGTCTTAACTCTCCTTAAACAACAACAAAAAAAAAAAATACGTCTTCGATTAAGAGTAACCCCTTTCCCCGCCCACGTATTAAATCGTCGCGTATTAAATCCCCGTCGGACGCCTAATAGCG